TATGACTATGGTGTGCAATTCTTTAGGTTTTGGTAGTAGATTTCACTTCTTCTATCTACTATAATACTGAAATTATACTTTCATCATGTTTTTAAAAATTAATTTATTTATTAATTAATCACTCATCACTAATCAATTCTATAATATCTTAGATATGCATCTAATTTGATATGAACACATGTTTAAATGCTTATTAATCAAAATATGTATCATTTTCATCACTAATAACTTTAGAAAGTTTAAAGTTTTATATCAACTCTTGATAGATTGGCTTTACTGCTGGATGTTTTTCTATAAACTATTCACAAAGTATCCTATTTATATTAATAAATTCTCTATTTGTCACTCTTTATTATTTCTCTGGATCATAAAACTATTATTATTAATTAATTCACCTACATTAAGTACACTATCTATCATTTCTTTTAAACTGGCTTTCTTATAAATGAATACTCTTATGAAATGACAGAATTATTTGTAAGAGACTCTTTCATCAATATTTAGAGGACTCAAATCAAAACTTAATAATAATCTATCACCTATTATTGGTTTCTTTAAGATCTTAAAACCCTCCTTTAAAGATTCAATTGTCATTCCTTTAGTTTTATAAAGATGCCAAAATGAGTTTATTTTTGGACTGCTCTATAAATAATAATACTTTACTCAAATTTATAAAATTTCATAGGTTATGGTAATTCTGTTATTTATGAAGAATTGTCTTATGATTAAAATTGTATCATAGATCTCTTTAATGATTCTACACTATTATTAACTTAGTTTTTTTAAAAAGCAAATTTGGGAATCAATTCACATTTTGAACATTGAGGAGCTTCCTAACCAATAGATTGTCTAGTCCATCGATTTAAAATGTATGATTATGATGGAAATTTGATTTAAAGTTGAGTTGATGATCCTTCAACTAGATACCTTTGAATATCTTATTTTAAAGTATCTTCCATAGCCTTCATTTTAATTAATGCTTCTTAAGATTGTTCATTATCTAATTATAATTTAGCTATATAAATAGTTTCCAAACAACTAGATGGACCTTATGGTTTTCTTGCTTTTATGAGATGATCTGATGTATAATTACTTCTTTTAATCTAAAGACTAAATGCATAACATTCAACAAATACTTATTCACATTTAATTTCTTATGTAATATATTTTTATCCCATATCCCAATTGTTTTCCCTAATTGATAGGTTCCTTCTAGATACTCTGCTACATTAATTTATCCAGGAGGCTTTTAATATTTGTAGTTTTTATAAGGTAAATTAAACAAGTTGTAATATTCTGGAGGTCTTTCTGGTAAATCAGCTTATGTTTTAGGTCTATCTTATAAAGTAAGTAGAACTCTCTTTTCTGTAGGTTAGTTAGCACTTTATTTTTTTAATGGACTGCTTAAAGATTTCCTAAACTTACAATCTGAACTTGATGGAAATCTCTATCTAGTTTTTAATATTCTTCTAAAGTGATCATATTCTCCAGGCTAATCAAGGTGAAATCAACAAGTTACTGTTTTACTTTATCTAGTTGACTGTACAGTACTTGGGGTTTACACTATTGCAATCATTATTTGTTAATAAATATTATTATCTCAAGAAAATTTGTATAAATTTAATTATGAATATTGTTAAGACAATTAGATAAGTATTCTAATTTTCAAGAGTCAGATATTTTGTCTAATAAAAAGATCCAAGAATTAATGTTGATTATGCAGATTCAAAAGAAACTAAAATACCTAATGTTTGTTCAAATCCAGAAAAATTGAATGAAGAAAGTGAATATTGTAAGGTCACTGTGTAAGGAAAGGAAGTGAAATCATCTGAAAAGTATATTTTATTTTAATCATCTATTAGATTGAGAATTAAAGCAAAAGTGAAAAATTGTAAAGAAATTAATGGAATAATTGCATATATTTGATGCTGATTATATATATAATAAATTCATTAAAATACACCTTCCAAATAAATATTTTAATGGCTAATAACAAATATATTAGTAAAATATATTAGCAAATTATACCTTTTATTTTGAAGAGCATAAAAATCATTCAATTTAATAGAAATTTTTTTAAGGTTATTTTTATTCAATTTTATATTCTAATTTTCTCTCTCTTTTCTTTATACTTCTGTAAATAATTAAGATCTTATAAAAAGAATAAAAATATTATATAATATAGTATTATAATAATGAATGTCTTATATAATAGTACATTTGGATTACTAATTTTAAGTAGTATTTAAAAAATAAAGTAATTATTCACTTAATCATACTTTATGTCTAGAAAATAAAATAAATGAACAATTTATTTGATTAATTTAAAATAAAAAATGCAATAAAATAGTTATGGGTTGAATTTAGGAGTGGTTGGTACATAAAATATTAATATACCTACTTCTTAAGTTTTGAAATAAATTGCACAAAATAAACAATAGACATAGTAAAATAAATAAGTTTAGGATTAAGATCTAACAATAATTGCATAATAAACAGATCATCTTAGAAAAAGAATCTCAAATATTTTTCATTTACCAATTAAGCTTAAAAAAACTTAAAGTAATTAATAACTTTTAGTTAGACTTTATGATTGAAGATATTGGATTAAAGGTGGATTCTCTATTCAAAAAATCTCATCTAAATTAAAGTAATGTTGATTATCTTAGTGATCATATTAAAAGATTAGGAGATAGGATTAACTAAGAAATGAAAAAAAAATAAGAGTAATATCATTCTAGCATAAAAATTGATAATTTTAGAAATTTTTCATAAATTTAACAAGAGTTCTAAAAAAATAAATAAGTAAAATACTTCTAATAAACAAATTAGATTTATAATTCCTTTTATAAAACAGAATTAAAGACAATAATAAGATAAAAAGAAAAATTAATAGATATTCTTACTTCTTCAAATAGAACTGAAAAATTAGTTTCACATGAAATTTAACTAAATTAATATAATGAAGTAATTTTGTAAAAATTGTTTATTGAAAACCATTTATATTAAGCCCTGTTAAATTTTATAAAAAATAAGAATGATATCTCAATATATGAGAAACTTTTTAGAACATTAGAAGTGTTTGAAACAACACATAATGTAGAAATGAGATTATTAGCAGATTAATTTAAGAATATATCAAATACATTAAATTAATAACAAAAATGGTATATAAATTCAATTATAATATAGTGAAAACATAATTCGTAATACAGTAAAAAATTTAGAAAATGATATGTTTAAATAAATTGGTCACTTAGACATATAGAATTTAAATAGAAAATTCAAAGAGTTTTATCTTCCTTATTTATAAACTACTGAATTATATTAAATAGGATAGTTTTTTCCTAGTGGAATCCTCTTTTTATTGATGAGATGTGGTAAAGTTGGTGAAGCATAAAAAATTCTTTCTGGATTGATTTAAAGTGATTAAAGAATAGCTTAATAATTTTTAAGTTTTTTTGATTTATAAAAATAAGAAATTCTCAATCAAAATGATGTTGAAGAGAAATCAAGACAATAATGTTGTGATATATTATTACAATAATGTTATTGGTTATTATTAGATGTTAGTGATGCTTATGATGTATTTGAATAAACCTAATTTTAAAAAGATAGAGACTTTTATATATGGTTAACATTAAAAACTACTCATTGTTCTGATGAATTTGTAGTATATGAAAGATCTGATCAAGAATCAAAAAAAGCTTTTTTTCATTGGAAACTTATAGATCTTCATGAAACTATACCATAATCTACAGTAAGTCTTAGAATCAACATCATTTTATAAAGATATGATTACATTTTGAGTGAATTATATAAATACTAAAATCAATGTCTTTCATAGGTTGAATATTTTATATTAGATACAGTACTTACATCATTAAATATGAAAATATAAAAAAATGCAATAGCAGAAGAACAAAAGAAAAACATTATTGATAATCTTGTTAATTACACTTAAAATAAACTTCCTCTTGTTTCTTGTTTAATAATGAGTGTTAGTACCTATAATATTGAAGCTATTGCTAATTTATTATAAAAAACTAATCATGTTACATAAGTATTGATGGACAAAAATTTTAGAGAAAATTTAGAAGTAATATTTGGTAAAGATGAATTACTAAATATTACAAATGAGATGGTTCATTTATTCTTTGAAAAAAGTTTACATAATTCATTAAAAGAATTTTAATAACAATTAGAAAGATCATCTACAATGAATTAAATTAATGATTGTTAAACAGTCTTAATTTTAAAATTAGATGAAATGAGTATTTATTTGAAACAATTACTAAACTAATATTCTGAAACCCTTTTAGAAACAGCCATTTATTTATATCATGAAACATAGCTTGTATATATATTAAGTTGTGTAATTGTTAATTAATACTGTATTATAAAATTAGGATCTTAAATTGAAAAAAGACAATTATAAGCAAGAAATTTAGAAAATTTACATTCTAGAATCAAGAGTTGTGCAAAAGATTCTAGATAATATAATTATTTTTATCGATTCTATTTAATAGAAATATTTTAATAAACTTAATAATCAATGAGATAAGAATAAGTTAATTTAAATGAAATTAATCAAATTTTATCAAATGTTAATATACGAGAATTAACAAAAAATTTAATTGAGAACAAATAAATTCATTTAATTAAAATGGTATTTTGGTAAATTTTATAATTAATTGACTAAAAAAAATGCAATGAAAAATCTTACCTTATGTAAACAATTATTTATATTTAATAGTGAAAAAATAAAAGAATTGAATGAAACATTGCTAAAATTCCCAGAAAGTCAAGGTATTAAGATTTGCAGGGAAGATGTTCAATTTTCATAAATTGTTGTTGATATTTTGAATTCTTATTCAAAAGTGCTAAAGATGTATTGAGATCTGTTCTTCTGTGATTAAATTAATTATAAATCAGTTTTTTTTCATTTTTATTATGTTAGATTAAGTTAATAATCTATTATAATTTATAAAATTTGTAATTATAATCAGAGTATGCTCTCAAAAAGAAAGGTTTCATCTTAAAATTTAGAAGAATCATCTAACTCGATAGAACAATTATGCAATAAAATTCGTAAAGTGATTGTAAGTGAGGTAGGTGAAAAATATATCCAAAATCATTCTGAAAAGGACATTAAATAAAAAAGAACTAAACACAAATCTAAAAGAGAAGATGAATAATATATTATAGAAATAATTCAGAATGATCCTGTTGAAGTAGAAGAATAGCTTTCTTCAATTTAAGCAATATCTGAATCCTAATCATGGGTTGTTGAAGAACTATTTGATGAAATAAATAAGCTCAATTACCATTAAGAGATTGAATGAAGTTCTTTAATTAATTATGTTTAAATATATATTCGAATATTTGGGTTTTGTACACAGGTGTGTGCTATGCTTAAATTTAAAATTTGATTTAATATTTTTATCCAATTATTTATTATTAATTATGAAAAAATAAAGTAGGATCATTTATCTTTGAAAATAGTTGATTATATTTAATTTGAGTCTGAATTTTTTAATTCACTTATTATTCTATATAAAAATTCATTATAATCTTAAAATTCAATTTATAAATTGAAGTTTTTCTTAAAATATATAATTTGATTAAGCTAATAATTAAATTAGGTCTTATATAATAATTCTTCAGTTTTAGGTTAAATAAAATAGATATATTAATCAGATTTAATGAAATTAAAACTAATATTTTGAATTAAGTTACTTTGATAAATTGATTTGTTCATAAATGAATGCTGTTCTATTTTTTTTAATTATGAAAGACTTGAAAAAATTTAATATAAATTAATAACAACATATTTGGAGGTTTATATAATTTGCCTCTATTTTATGGATTGATTTGATCATATTTAAATTCTTATATATTATAAGTTCTCAAACTATATAGTATTATCTTTTTTATTAAATAAATGATATTAATTAAATTTCAAATATAAATACATGTCAAGTGAAGAGGAAGTACTTTATCTAGTATATTCTTTTAGAAAATGAAATAATTATAAGCACTTCCAATTAGAAATTACTTGGATTAAACTGTAGTGCCCCTTTTATTATAGGCAATGACTGAAGTAGCAAAAGTGAGGTTAGTTTTTCTAATTATTAAGACCTCCTAATCCAATTGAATTTATTGCTAACTTTTTGCTATAGAATAATCCAGAAAAAGCATAAACAAGATAATAATGAGTGTTAGCGAACTGAAACTGATTTTATATAAACAAAATAAATAAATACTAAGATTTTATTATAAAGACAATTTCTTAAACTTTGAGTTTATTTTCAATTATTCAAGTAAATGTATTAGATTTTATTCAAATACTTTAATTTAACTTTGTTTTAAAATGAATATGTAAATTGATGAAAGAAGTAAAATAAAAATATGAATTCGTTTTAAAAACAATTTACTTCATTCAATAACCAAAGAATCCTTTAATCAATAAATAAATTTCATTTTTATATATTAATTGGATGTTAATTATAATTATTTACTTTAATTGATTATTATGACTTATTGTTATATGTTGTAATTTAAATACACATATATATGAATTAGCATTGATTTAAAAATTTTATTAATAAAAATATATAAATTTTATTTGTTAAATTAAATGATCCCTGATGAGAAATACGGAATTGTAATTAAAACAGGAACCACATTAAATGGAAATATTTTGATTAAAAAATATGAATAGGTTCCAAATATAATGGAAAAACATTTAATACCAAGGCCTATTTAAATTGTTTACATAGAATCAATTGAAGAGCCATGGCGTTAATTAGCTTTGGATTTGGAAAGAAAATATGTAGCATTAACTTTAGAGATGTAAAATAGAAAATTGAATGGATATTAAAAGACTGAAAATTGTTAGGTTACATAAAATGATGTAAATTAATAATGTGATGAAATAGAGATTGAAATAGAAAAACTAGAATAATAATTAAAGTATAATATTATTTTATTATAGATAAATGGATGAGGATTATAATGATAAAATGAAATTGTTGTAATAATTATAGGAATAAGAGACAAGAATTGAATCAACAAGTTATGATTAAGAACATTAACTAGAAGAAATGAAATAAAAGTTTAAAAAACTAAATGGATTAAACAGTGATCTTAATGAAAAGATTGTTATGTTAGAAGCAGAAAATGAAGCAATAAAAAAGATGTAAACAACAAGAAAGAGTATTGTAACAACAACTTCAACTAAAAATCAAATTCATGTTTTATGATTTTAACATATTTATTATATTTTATCATTATACTAAAATATTTTGAGAGATAAGAAGAAGAATTAATTTGTTAAAGTATAATAATAATAAATAAACTAAAAAGTATTATGCAGAAATATAATTATTAAAATTAACGAATTGCAGTTATTAATGGATTTCGTATAAAGTGAAGAGAGATATTAAAAATTAGAGAAAATAGGTGAAGGCACCTATGGATTAGTTTATAAGGCTAAAGATAATCAAACAGGAGAGATAGTGGCATTAAAAAAAATAAGAATGGATCATGAAGATGAAGGAGTTCCATCAACTGCCATTAGAGAAATTTCATTATTAAAAGAAGTAACAATTTATAAATATACCAGGTCTAACATCCTAATATTGTTCCTCTAAAAGATGTTGTTTATGATGAATCAAGATTGTATCTAATCTTTGATTTTGTCGATTTAGATTTAAAAAAGTACATGGAAAGTGTACCTTAGTTAGATAGAATTTAAGTGAAGAAATTTATACACTAAATGTTATAAGCTCTAAATTATTGCCATTAAAATAGAGTTATTCATAGAGATTTAAAGCCTTAAAATATTTTGGTTGACATAAAATAATAAAACACTCAAATAGCAGATTTTGGATTAGCAAGAGCATTTGGTTTACCTTTAAAAACTTACACTCATGAAGTTATAACATTATGGTATAGAGCCCCAGAAATTCTATTGGGATAAAGATAATATTCTACTCCTGTAGACATATGGTCTTTGGGTTGTATATTTGCTGAAATGGCCTAAAAACGTCCATTATTTTGTGGAGATTCTGAAATTGATTAGTTATTCAAGATATTTAAGATCATGGGAACTCCAAAAGAGTCTACATGGCCAGGTGTTAGTACTTTACCTGATTTCAAGAGTACTTTTCCAAGATGGCCAACTCCTACTAATCCAGCTGCTACATTAGGAAGGGATATTACAAATTTATGTCCATTAGGATTAGATCTACTTTCTAAGATGATTGTTTATGATCCTTATGCAAGAATAACAGCAGAAGAAGCTTTGAAGCATTCTTATTTTGACGATTTAAATAACTGATATGAAATTTTATTATAATAATATTAATGAGTAAATTATCGTAGGTTTTGAAATCTCACACGGATGTCAATGGTGTCACCCTTTTTGATCATATTAATAGCTTTATTAATGAAGTCTTGTAAAGCAATCATAAGGATATGAACTCAATCGAACTCTTATCAGATTTTACAAAAAAAAATAGATTTCTTTTCAAAAAATTGTCATCTGAAAGTGAAGTAAATAATCTTAAAGATAAAATCCCTGAATTTGCTGATTGGGTAAAGAGAGTTTCACAATTACTAAAAGTATAATGGCTATTGAATTGTAGGGTTAAACAGTTGCATAAATGCCTACTATTTTATAAGACTTTGTTGCATCCGCTAGATTATTAGAAGCTGCAGGTTATGGTTTTGGAGAGGAAGAAACCTACTAGATCCAATTAAGTATAAAATAATTAAGTGTAAATATGAATATATATTTTCAGATTGAAACAAATGCAACTGAAATGACATTTTTTGGAAAAATACTTTGTAGAAATTCTGATTATTATGTTGCCAGAGGAGTAGTACCTAAACTACCTACAGATTATTTAGCACCAAATGCTGAACCTAGAGGAGATGGTGTAAATTATTATACATTCTGGGTTACTAATGATAGTATTTCATATATTAATCAATAGTATTGACTGATTGGAATGAGTTACCACTAGTAACACCAGAATAAATTAAAGTAGCTAGAGAAATTAAATATGTTTGTACAGGAAATTTGAATCAAGAATTAAAAACTTATCCTCCTTTTCCTGGAAAAGAAAAGCATTATTTAAAAGCATAATTAGTAAGGATTTTACATTCTAATTTAATTGCACCAAAAGGACTTTATCAATAAAAAGAGGATAATCGTAAATTAATAAAATTATTTATTTAGCAAAGGAATTGGAATTTGTAGAAGAATTCAAAATCCCTGAATTTGCTGAATTGTAAAATCCAGATAGTTGGGTTCATGTTCCTGCATAAATTTTAAAATAAGGAAGAATAACATTATATACAGATGGATTATCTGAAGAAGCTAAAAATGCTTTACTTGAAGCTAATCCAGATCTTGATAGTGAAACAACAAGATTAAAAGGTATTGCTGAAGATCGTCCACTTGAACCATTTTATTAAACAAATTGGTTAATTAAAACTGTTGGAGATTAAATGATATATAATCCTAAAGATGATAATTCTGGAAATAATGT